ACCCCAAGCACCCTGAATGGTTCCTGGATGGTCTATAGCTGCTTCTTCCTGCTGGTCTCCCCGCTGCTCGTCTCCCAATTCAAAACCCCTTTAACTGCAAAACCTTGTCACTTGAGTGAAGCTGGACCAGAGGGTAGCCTCTAATCCTTAGGTCAATACCAATGTCCCCTCAGTCACTGTGACTTGGGGACTAACACAGTTTACCGTATCACTTCTACATATGGAAAACTGTCTTATAAAAATGACTTTGCCAAGGTGATCACTGAGCCAGAAGCAATACTATTTTGTTAAATTCCATGCTTGTGCTTAGGATACTTATCAAGTCTTAACAATTCTAATGCATGCATGTAGTTATCACAATGTGAACAAAGACACATGAGTGACCAGCTCTTCCCAAAGCAAAATCTCTCTACAAGCCACAACTGCTCAATCCAGAGCCTCTTACAATGCCCAGTACAGTACCCAACTCTTTTTAGGGAGAGTAAGGCAAGGAAGGCTTTAAAACTTACCACCCTTGTAGTCAACACAGTTGCTGATGGAAGCACAAATGCCCCAGAACTCTCTGGGTGTTCTATTAGTCTTGTGACCAGAAAAAGCCTCTTATCCAAATTGCTTTTTCTAAATATCAAACTAATAAGAAGGTGACCCAAGGTTACCCTAAACACATTCCTGCCCCCCTTTAGATCTTATCTGCTGCGAGAGGCCACCTCCTGGGTAACTCCAGGCCCACTGCCACTCTTTTTCTACCCTAGGCTGTTCAAACCAACTCAGGGAGTCTAAGACAAGAGGCAGATGGTGAGGAAGAGAAAGTCTGTAAGTAACACCTCTCTGTTACATAATGCTAAGCACATAGCCTCCTAAAGCCAGCCTTGAAATTACCGACTGGCCTTTCACTTCAGAGTAAACAAGTATTCAAAACAGGCAAAGAGAGAGGATTATAATGCCTTTATTTGATGACCGATGACCAGTGTACAATCATATTAGTAAATATCATATCTACCTATTAGTAGTAACAGGTTGGGCTAAGACCAGACTCTTTATAGGATATCTATCACTCATTTATTCACTCAATACTCGTGTAACACCCAGTACCTACCAAGCACCAAGCCAGGTCCGACAGGACACACTTTCCACCTCACCTAGGCCAGATCACTATGGAAGTCATTAGTGCTACTCACCTGGATCCACTTCTCCCTTTTTTAGCATAATTGAATTGTGATGAAATGGGATCATATGCTTAGCTCTGGCCAAAGAGATGGAACTCACCTTTGGGTGGGATCACACAATGCTAGAGCAAGACCCTGCAGCATTTCTGTCCCATTTCCGTCCCGCTCTAGTGATCTTGCAAGCCCATGTGTAGACGGAACTAGTCCCTGAATGACTACAATGAGCAGGGCCCGCCTACCATCCCGGCTGGACACAGCATGGGAAAGAGAGAAATTCTATTTAGCCACTGAGATTTGGAGGTATTTGTTACTGCAGCATAACCTAACCTATCTTGCTGATACATATATCCCTGTTCAAAAAAGAAAGAGAAACCTGCAAGAGCACCCCCCTCCATCTGTTTTCTAAATCAGATAATACAGAAAAGCAGAATTTGTTTCAAAATTCAGGTGCAGCAGGGACTGAACACTATCTTGAAAAGCAGAGGGTGCCAACAATATAGACAGGTACAAACAATTCTGAGGGAATATGGGATGAAAACACAATGACCTCTCAACAATGGTGGATGGAATCTAACCATACGGAATCTAGTTTAAGAGTTTAAAGATTACAAAGAAAAGGCCACCTTCTGATAATAGGCCCAGCCATTTATTAAGCATTCACCCCCTAAGGAATGAGGCATTCAAGTAGAGACTGGATGGTCATACTCTCCCTCCTCACAAATCCAATCCCCCACTCCTTTTTCATCTCTCTGCAGCTTCCACTGAACTTAATCAGAATCAGGTCTTCATTTCTCCATCTTCCTACAAGCTCCCTGAAGGTAGTTTATTTTATGTCTTGGTCTCACCCCCACCCACTGCCCTCAGCACCTATCACAGAGCTCATTATCTATCAGGTGCCAATAAACAGCTGCTGAATGAATGAATGAACGCTGCTGAAAGGACTGGAGGCAAAGGTCAGTCTAATAACCTCTAGGGCTCTTCCAGCCTAAAGCTAAACACACTATTGCACACATCTAGGGGTGGGGAGGCCCTGTTTTAAAAAAAAAAAAAGGCATCGACACAACACTTTATTGTGATTTATTACTGTGCACAATTTAAAATCACAATGAAATCTAACGTTGCACTGTGGCTATCTTTGTTCTGGGATGTGCATTTACATGTGCAGGCAGCTGTTTTCCCATGTGGAATGTTATGTGTGAGGTATTTTTAAATTTAAAAAAAAAAACCACACCCTTATTTCTGTTGCATTATTACATTCCCTATTATCCCCTCATGTGGTTTTTCTTCTTATGGCAACACAGTACACACCCTGCATTATTACTGGCATAAAAATCACTTGTCAAAATACCTCTGTCCTAGCACCATGTTACTAATCTGATCTTTCCAAAGCATTGGCCTTTGTTTTAGCTGGGACTAGATAACTCATCTAGTTTTCCTAGTGATTCTTGAATGCTTTCAGTAGAAGGATAAATGCTAGTGTCACTTATGTTTTTTAAAGTCACATTTTAAAACAAAACTACCCTAGAGGTGAATGAAAGATCTTTCAAGCTTTTTAACTTTATTTTTCAAGGGGCTGGGGCGGGGGGAATGGTGAAGAGAAAATCTGCCACTGATGCCACAATGGTGCAGCTGCTGCAGTGTACAAGAGAGCACCAGTAGCCTCTGGTCTTCAGCAATCTGTCTTCCTACAAGAAAAACCCCTAGTGCATTTCCATAACCATTCGTATCCCCTGCTGCTGGTGTAGGATGCGCAGGACTCTGCCCTCTAGGAGAAAATGCCAATGCCGAAATGTCCTGAGAAGTCTGAAGGTTACATTTCCATGACAATCTTATCAAGATAATCCCACATCTGGTCAGGCTAACATCAAAAGAGAACTATCCTAGGAAAGAAAAGAACAGGCCAGAGTTTTTGGAAAAGAACCAATAACCTAAAGATAAAATGCAGAATGAGAGTCTAATGGTTCATGGCTATATAAATGGAAACTTCACCCCAGCTCCGTTTTTCCCTTTCTGCTCCCCACAACAGCCCTCTCCCCCACCTCCCAGTACTTACTGCTAGCTTGATGTTGCAAACACTGTCACAAAGAAGGGATGGAAGAAAGAAAGACGTTGCTTCCTAAGAAGGTCACTGCATTTGACCAATACTCTCACTGAGCACTGGTCAAATGTATAATCAGTTTACAATGATACCTTTTCAACAAAGGATAGCACACCTATAGACTGAAGCCAAAATATATTATTACAAATAAGACAGCAGGCATATATACAAAGACCACATTGAGATACAGCTGCCCATGTATTGATTATATCAACCAAGTGGAATTTCTGCAATCTCAAATTCACCTTGCCCCCTGCGACTTTTTCAGAAGGAAATTTGCAATTCCTTTCTCTGAACCAGGAGTTTCAGCAGCTCCCACATCTTCTCACAGATAGGAAGGATGTTGATGCAGAAACCACCCAAACAGCTCTGTGCCACCACTGCCGGCCCAAATGACCCAGAGACACCCAGGCGGCTACCCAGATTGTTGGGGGTTACCTGAATCTGTCACCGGGTCCCTTTCACCCCCTTCTGCGTGATGACATCAAGTGGAAATGGTACGCCTTTGGGAGACAAGAGGCTGACAAGCAGGAAGCACAATTGAGACTGAGCTTTGTTCAGCCTGCGGTGAGATACATGCAGGAAGGGTTAGACACTCGCAGCAGAGAAGGCAATCCAAGCGCCCCCGACCCACTCCTGGACCAGCAGGGCCGGGAGTGGGTGCGCTGGGCGAGGTGGAGCAAAGGGACTGAGGTGTGGAGAGCTGGCGGGCCTAGAAGAGGGCGTCACGGCTCCTAATTGTCTCTATAGGATAAATAACCACCTCCCCCTCCTCCGCATTCTCCCCCGCCCCCAAGTTCCCCTCTGGTGGTAGAGCCTCCACTGGCAACAGTAATCCCTCAGAAAGAAACCCAGAGGGTGGAGAATAACGTCTCGGGGCAAAGATACGCTGGCAACATACACTAGGTAAAGCCGGTCTTATGGGAATGCGGGGCGCCTAGTCACCCGCCCAGACAGACACACCAGCGCTGCATTCGCGAGCATCCTTCCTTCGTTTGCCCCTGCCCGCCACCTCATTAAGTCACTGTCCCTCCGTGTTGCTGATTTCTCTACTCTTTCCAAAACCGTGCCGCTCTCCCCCACCACACCCCCACCCTAGGCGGGATCCCGAGCAGCGCCCCACGAGTCCAGCCCGCTTTGTCCTGCCGCCGTCCTTCCCGGAGCAGGCGCCCCAGGCGCGTGTGTCCGCACAAAAGACCCCCAACATCTGGCCCGCCACTGCGCCCTCTCCTCCTCCGGGGAGGGGCTCCGGGGCAACTTCTAGGGGTAGGGAAGGAGCAGGTCGAGGGGACCGAGAGGGGTGACCGGGGTGTGTGAGGGCTGGGGGCGCAGCCGGGGCGAGCGCGCAGGCACGTGCACCCCCAGCGGCGCGCGGCGCGGGCACGAGGCGAGCTCCCTCGGACTGGAGCTCCAGGGGGCATCCGAGGACTCGGCGGAGCCGCTGACCGCGCCGGCCGCCCGACTCCGCCAACGCTCGGGAGAAACGCAACTCCCGGACCGTCTCCCCGGCGCCCCGGGTCGCCCGGCCCCGCCGGACCCCGCGCTCCCCTCCCCGGGACGCCTGCGGCCCCGCCGACCCCATCCACAGATCCCCCCGTCACACCCCGCGGCAGCGGTCCTTTCCCGCTCGCTCGGCTCCCGGGCGGCCGCCGCGCGGGCGCAGACATCCCTGCGCGCCCCTCTGCGCCCCCAACCCGGCGGGGCCAGGGCTGAGAAACAAACCGAAACTCACTGACCTTCCTCCGCTGCGGGCTCGGGCGATCGCTACAGCGGCGGCGGCGGCGGCAGCATCGCGGGGTGGTCCTGGCGCGCCCGCCCGCTCAGCCACAGCCAGACGCGCACCGCGGGCCGGCGACCGCCGCTCCTCCCGCCGCGAGCCACGAGCCGCGGGGCGGCGCCTGCAGCCCCAGCTCCCCGCCCGGCCCTTCGGGCGGCGCCCCACCTGCCCCGTGCCCTCCGCCTTCCGGGTCGGACCCCGCCACCAAGAGCGGGGCACCGAGCGGGAGCTTTTCGTGTCACCAAGACAGAAGCACCGAAGGGGGTGGAGGCGGGAGGCTGGGCTCTGCGACCCGCGGCACCGCCCCCCGGCACCGCCCCCCCCGGCGACTCCACCCCCTTCTCTCCCACCCCCACCCCCACCCCAGCTCCGGCCTGTCCCGGACGTCTGTCTGTTGGTCCAGAGTCGCCGACCTCCCCAGGGAGGAGAAGCTGCCCCTCCTCCCTGGCGCGCTCCCCCGGCCTTGCCCCCAGTGCCCACCCTCGACCAGGACCTCGACGTTGTCCTTTCCACCGCGCGGGAGCAGGACCTGAGCTGGAATCAGGTGTGAAAGGAGGCCGAGCCCAGCTGGGAGCAGAGGCGGGGCCGAGCTGGGCGCCGAGGCTGCGGGGAGGGCGCAGTCTGCAACTCGCGACCCTGGACAGCGAGAGGGAGGAGTTTAGGTCGTCAGGTTTCCAGAAACTGCCCTGGATTCGCGTCATCCCAGATACTTTTCGGCTGCCCCTAAAAGTTCACATAATCCAGCCAGGGTGGGAGCCTGCTTTCCAAAGAGGCCCGAACTACCCACTACCTGATCCCTCGAATGGGGGACGGGGAGAGGGGAGCAAGGAGATGCAAGATTTGGGGGCTATATGGAAGCGCGAATGAACCACCAGGACGCCGGGCCCACCCTGTTGCTCACCCTAAGCCTAACTTCCACTTTAGGGACATGCTGAGCATGTCTTGTTCCCCCAAGAAATATGGTCTGCCTCTTGCGTTAACTGCAAAATGGAAGAATGGAGGAGGAAGGTCGCCGGTAGAAAGAGGATTTCCATATCTTTTGGTGCCTTTTTAAAAAGAATTTCCTTGCAGAATGAAAACCTACAACTCTATTCTGTGACTCTAGTGAAGTTCAGCCAGCCCCTTCCTGGGTCTCCAGCAGCAAGGCTCAAATGAATGATGCCCCCAACCGCTGGGATGGAGCTGTCTTTCCTAAGTTCTTATCCACAAATAAGGAACTCCCCATTCTCCCTCCCCCAAGTAGCTCCTTGAAATGCTTCTGCCAAGATAATTTTTTAAAGTGTGGGGGTGCTATGAACTCTATGAGGAACACTGATGGGACCTCTGTGTGATCTACTAAAATTCATAATGTACTCAGGTGACCCTTGTCCTGTCCCAAAAATACAACCTGTTGATGGAGTTTCCAAACATGCTGTCATTAAGCACATACAGAAAATCAATCACTAGACACAGATAAAGCTTGATGGGTTATCTCTGGGGTCCCAATTAAAAGGCCACCAGACTGATCCTTGTCCCTTTGCTCCACCAAGTTATAACCCCTGTTGTACACCTGAGAGGAGTGAAAGCTTTATGCATGTTTTAGATGCCTAAGGTAATCTCAAAGTAGAAGACTTCAAGAGTCTTTATTTTAAGCCTCGACTTTAGGGCAGAAAAAAGAAATTATTTTATGGAGAAGCTAATGGGAGTATTGAAAACTCTGATGTTGGCCAGGAGGTTGGAATAAGGAAGATGAGTTATAACACTCCAAGATTTTACTAGGAAAGTTGAGCCTAGAAATATTATGATTATACAAGAGTGACTTTAAAGACTACTTTTAAGAAGCTAATTTCAGGGATCAGTAATGGTTCCAAAATGTTTCAAGTCTTTTTATCAGCTGCTTTCGAAACAATTCTTTGGGGGGATTCAAGCATTCGGCATGGTGTGGGGTAAACGCTTCCATCCTTAGTCATTCATTTCCACTGGCTGGCATTTTAATTCACAGAGCATCATGGGTGTTCTGCCTTCTGTCCAGTCTTGTAAAGCTGTCACCCCGAGAAGGTTAATTAACTGGGGCAGACTGGGATAGGCCAGTTCTAAAGACTAGTCAGAGGCCAGCGCTGGGGCACGCAGCAAGTTTGAGTCAGTGGAGGAACAGGCAACAACATGTCAGAGCAGATCCTTCAGTGAGAATTCCAGGAGCAGGGCAGCTAGGACCAGGCTGTGTTCAGAGCTGCAAGCTGGCAGGCAGCGTGGTCAGAGAACCTGACATCACCCTGGCGGCCCATGTGTGGGAAAGAGAGAACGAAGGCAGCGCCCCAGGTCTGGAAGAACTAGTTACCAGGCCCCAGCCCTGGGCACCAAGATAAAGACCCAAATATCCATGAATTGATTATAACCAATATTCATTGAGTACAGACTATGTACCAGGAAGCTGGCCGTAGGGCTAGGACAGAGAAGAAAACACACCCAAATTCCTGCCTTCACAGAATTTAACATTCTGCTGGAGGAAGCAAATAATATATAACGTAATAAATAAATAAAATAAATTGGATGTTGGAGAGTGAAAAAGGCAAGGAGGAAAAATAAAGCAGGAAAGGAGGTTATAGGTCTGCGTACTGGGGGAACTTTGAGATCAGTGGCCAGGGCAGGCCTTGCTGAGAAGGTGCCTTCTTTTTTTTTTTTTTTTTTTCTTTAGACAATTAGAGAAAGGAAAAGAAGGTGCCTTCTGAGCTGAGACCTGGAAGTGACAGAGCAGGCAGTGCTGGTAAGTGGGAAGAGTCCATGCCTGTTATCAGAGAGGACACGAAGGTGGGGCCCGGGGGTGGAGTGGGTCTGCACTTCACCATGGGCAAAGGTCGAAATACTGGAACTGGGTCACAAGGTCAGTTGGACCTACAGCACTGATTGATGCTGAATCACGTGAGAGTGAATTAAAGCTGCTTACACAGGGGCAGGGATGAGTTCTTATTCATCTTTGTACCTACAGCCTGGAGCACAGGGGCCCAATAAATGTTTATTGAGCTGAGCCCTTAAATCTCTGGGAACTTGGCGTGGGGGCTGAGATAAATGCGATCCCATAATACTCAGGGCAGCCCTTCTATCAGGGCTGACACTTTCACAAAAGAACGTGATGATCTCTTTAATCGCTTTTCATGACTGTCTTCCTGACCCGGGAGGGCAGAGATCATCTTTCAGCTGGGACAAGGAAACAGGCAAACCCCATTCAGTGCTTGATACCCAGAGAGATCCTAAGCCAGCCCAGGACTGAGGGTGAGTTTTCTGTTGAACATGTTTGAATTTTACATGTTAAAATTACTTCTTGAAACTGTTTTAGGGTGACAGTTGCACAACCTAGTAAATCTAAAAATCACTGAATTCTACCCTTAAAATAAGTGGATTTTGTGGCATGTAAATTATACCTCAATAAAGTTGTTTAAAAACATTGAAGTGGGACCCCATGTTTAGACAGCTTTCACAGGCTGTCAATGATAAGCCAAGGAGGCATCTTTAACCAAACACATTATCATCCTTCCTAATGGATGTTTAAACCAAATTGATCTGCAAATTTACTTTTCCCTTATGGGATATTATTAGCCACCTTAAAGTATATGTAGTCTTTAAAAAGTCTAAAATGTCTTAAAGTATATTTATTGTAAAATAGCTTATTAACAATGATTGTTAAAGATCATGCATATTTCAAAACTGGTTTTTACAAAAACTAGGCCCAACAGACTTATTAGTCTGGTATTCAGAATGAGAAAGGTACTACTATGTCTAACACACTGTCTACTCTCTTAACTATTTAGAACCCAGTGCTATCTAAGGGAAATGAAGCCTCATCTACAACAAAATACTGAAGTATTTTGAAACTCCAAAGGATTTTAATAGGAAATATATCCAGATTGCTTTTCTAAAAGTAGAGATGGGTTGAAGAGAGAGCCAGTCTATTTTTTGTAACTTCATTTTTGATATGCACAACACACATTCCAAAACACCTGGCTAGAATCATGTGACCGCAGTCAGGAGTAATAGTGCACACATTTAACAACCTGTAGGCACAGGCCTCCACCAAGTCAGTTCAATGATGACCATAAGCAATCAGTATGCCCATTATGGTGTGTCCTGGTTGAATGTCAACCTAGACATGATGCCAAAGTCCTCTGGACACCCTTCTCAACAAGTATCTGCTATTTCTTATCGTATTTGTATAGTTTGGGGTTGAGCAAGATCCTCAAATCCACTAGTAAATTGCTGGTGTCTCTGCTATAGGTATGATAGGGAGAAATCTTCATAAACTGAACTTTATTCCTTATACAATCAACGTTAAAACACTGTTGTTACTCCCTAATGAATTGGAGTGACAACACGTGATCAGCCAGGGAAGGGCTGGAATGTTTAGCCCTCTCTCTTCCCACTGTCCTCACCTCCATTATCTGTTCTAGTCTCCTTGCCCCAGGTGTACCCTGACCTTCTGCCACCCATGAGGTTCCCACTGTCCTCCTTATCTTTCCTTTCCACTGGCTGTCAGGCTCCTGGCATCCACTCAGCTTCTTCCCTCAACTGGCCACTAAACCTGCTGCCAGACAGCAGAATAGTGCCCCTTTGAAAAAGAAAAAAAGAACCAGGAAGTTCTGCTGCCATTTTCCAAGACCTAAGTCTGGGTCCAGTACCTTGCCCTGCTGGTCCCCAGGAGCTGGCTGCAGTGCCCCCAGGATCCATGCTTCTGTACTCCATCTCTAACCTGTACCTCCCCTACGTGGACCTGGCACCCCTGTACCTGCTCCAGGTCAAGACCTAGCTTTACCCAGCCCCTTCACTGGACTGTCTCTCCCTTGGCCAACGCTTGCCCTCATCATTCAAACTCAAGCAAACCAAGGCTCTATTTCTGCTGCACCAGGATCAAGTCAGGCCACCCTCTAGTGGTCAGGAGGAGAAGTAGCAACCTGTGCACAGTGCCCAGAGGTCAGACCCCCGTAGAGGTCAGCCCTGAGCAATGCTAATAGGACGTTCTCCATGTAGCCCCTGCCTCTTCTCACCTCAATGTTTTTCCTCTGCTAT